GTTTACACATTCAAAGCGATCCAATAATGAATATTTCTTCGACGAATATTTCCAATAATGAATATTTCATGGATTAATCGGTATTTATTAATTATAATATTTTTTACTTAAGTTGGACTTGTTGACTGTTGAATATTAGGTACATATTTGTACCTGATTTATAAGGGCTGTTTCACAAAAATTTGGATAATAATACGGGATTTGATATAGGGTAAGGCAGGGCACAAAGGTCCAATTCGTCTTTCAGTGATTTAACTAAACTAATTTAAACAAACAACTATCGATCAATGTTCAGTAAAATTCTCAGTTAACTTCTAATTATAGTAATATGTTTTTTCTACCATTTTTCTAAAATTTGTTATCTTTCTCCTTTTGCCCCATGGGCGGAGTGAGATGGGACATCCAGAAGGCCAACAGATCTAATGTTTTGTTTAATTCTGAAGGAATTGTACAAATTGATACTTACTACATTATTTATATAAATAATACTGCTAACTTTTCTCTGTTTTTTTGATCAGAAATATTGATCAGCAGATTTGGAATAACTTACTGAATTCATTTACTATTTCTTATTAAAATTTACACTTTTGTCCATGTAAAGGTTTAGTTGAATCTTTTTACCCTGCCCACATGTAAGCTTTTATGGAGGTTATATAAAAAATCTGATGAATCCAACTATCTTATAAAACAATTAAATAACGTAAAAATGTATATTAAGGTCTCGTAAACTAAACAAAAGTACTCACAACTAATAACACTAACAACGAAAGAAAATACTGCTGTTACAGACTTTCAGATATAACTGTTTTCTCCTGATAGCGACATCGTGATGTAAGGCTATGGTCGGTTACACATCTTTTGCCCTTTACTTTCAAATATTGTTGTTAAAAAATTCCTAACTCTACTTGTTTTTAAGATATTTATGGTGGACCTTTAAGCTTTGCTCTACTTAACTTATTACTAAATTATTTATCGATTATAACATACATATTTTTCAACCAAGTAGGACAAGTTCGTGGGCAAAGCTTTTTTGTGAAAGTAAATACCTTCATCTGAAATCAAAGTAGCAACATTCTTATGCTTAGAGTTGTTCTTGGCAGTGTTATAATAAGCTTTTGTCTGTTTATCACAATTTATTTCTTATGACGTAATCAATTATATAATTAATACTGGATCAAATTATTTAACAACTTGAATCATTCCTCAGATCTGGATGGTACAACAAGGTTATTTCGGAATTGGAACCTGCAAGATTCATGTTTGCTCCGTTAAATAATTTCGAGTTCTGATATATTTAACTTAATACTAACTTACCTATTTATTGATTATTACATAAATATTTCTCAACCAAGTGGGACAAGTCCCTGGACAAAGCTTTTTTGTCAAAGTAAATACTTTCATCTGAAATCACACATTCTTATGTTTAGTAGAATTATTATTGGCAGTGTCATAATAAGCTTTTGTCTGTTTATCACAATTCATTTCTTATGACGTAATCAATTATATACTTAGTACTGGATCAAATTATTTAACAACTTGAATCTTCTTCAGATCTGGATGGTACAAGGTTATTTTGGAATTGGAACCTGGAAGTTTCATGATCGCTCCGTTAAAAAACTTCGAGTTCGGATATATTTAACTTAATACTAACTTACCTATTTATTGATTATTGCATAAATATTTCTCAACCAAGTAGGACAAGTTCGTGAGCAAAGCTTTTTTGTGAAAGTAAATACTTTCATCTGAAATCACAGTAGGAGCATTCTTATGTTTAGAATTGTTCTTGGCAGTGTTATAATAGGCTTTTGTCGGCTTGTCACAATTCATTTCTTATGATGTAATCAATTATATAATTAATACTGGATCAAATTATGTAACAACTCAAATTATTCTTCTGATCTGGATGGTACAACAAGGTTATTTTTCATTTGAAACCTGCAAGTTTCATGTTCGTTCGGTTAAATAATTTCGAGTTCTGATATATTTAACTCAATACTAACTTGCCTATTTATTGATTATTACATAAATATTTCTCAACCATGTAGGACAAGTTCGTGGACAAAGCTTTTTGTGAAGCAAATATTCATCTGAAATCTTTCATCTGAAAGTAGCAACGTTCTTATGTTTAGAATTGGCTTTTGTCTGTTTGTCACAATTCATTTCTTATGATGTAATCAATTATATAATTAATACTGGGTCAAATACTTAACAGCTCAAATTTTCTTCAGATCTGGATGGTACAACAAGGCTATTTTGCAATTGGAACCTGCAAGTTTCATGTTCGCTTCATTAAATAATTTCGTGTTGCGACCCCGCTAGATATATACATATTATTTTGTATAAATTCAGCTCATTGTTTTTTTGTCCATTGTGAATTTTGAACCGGCACCTGAAGCCGTATTTTCTGTAAGCACAACGTTTTTGATTGTTTTTCTTCCGCGTACGTAGACACTACACAATGGTAATACATGACATTCGGCGTGTTTTATTAAAATATTTACTTTACCTGGCCGTCAATAGTTCTTTCGATAGTTAAACATGGTTTATAAATAATTAAACTGCCAAGTGCTATAAGATTTAGTATTATACATACATAAAAAATGTCTCATCATTGTTGACTTATCAAACATTCAAGTAGATTGGAAAAAGGCGTGGGCGCAACTGATTAAGTCATTATGGACATCAGTAGAGTACAGCTTGCATTTATTATATAATTAATTGAGTTGATTTTGTTTTAATTAAACTTGAATATATTGCGCATTACATATACGTTTATATTAAACTATATTAATATACAAGAAAATTATTAATTTTTATAAGGTGACCATACGTCCCGGATTTCACCTTGTGTCCTGGTTTTCCTAAAAGCTATACAAGTCTTGAATTTTGATCCTTTGTCCCAGACTGTCGCGGTTTTTCAAAAATATAGGTTTAAATTGAACCTTGTTAAAAAAAACTCTCAATTAATTTCTATTATAGAAATGTTTTATTATATTGTGCTTCTAAAATTTGTCATTTGTCCCTTCTTACCCAGCTAAAAGCGAAACCGATCGAATCTCTTAATTTCAAATACAACCAAAAAACTAACATATGAAAGAAAATACTTTTGTTATGGATTGTCAAATATTGCTGTTTTTCTCTCAATCTCAATTACTTGTTTCTTGACATATTGGCGGTAAACCTTTTTACCGGCAAACCTTTAGCCCTACCCTATCCTATTTCATATATTATTTTTCCTGCTGAAGACCTGCAAAAAGTTTAATTTTTAGAGAAATTTCGTATCAAGAGCCAATCACATTATCAATTATATTTTTACTGAATGTTATTGTTATCAAATTTTCCATTACATATTATATCTTTATCGATCATAAGATTCGGCCCACTTAGTTTGTTCTAATTTTTGGGTGTACGTGCTCTAAAGACACGTATGCCTTCGCGGTTTCAGATCAGTCCTTAATAAATTATGAAAACATAAAGGCCAAGGTTTTAATGTAATTGAATTTTTTTATACAAACAAAAGTAGAACACATGAATTACATTCAATAAAAATAATATTTAAAATCAACATGTGCAAGTAGAGAACATGAGAATACACTTCACACCTGCAAAACGATTGATCTTGAACATCAATTTCGACAATTTGACATAGGCGTGATTTTAATAGTCATTCAAATAAATATTGTTGGTCATTCGCGAACAATATTTATTATTTTTTTGAAACAATTTGCTTTTGAGAAGGGTTTTTCTTATATGAATTATTTTTTTTAGTTTTAGTAGGAATTTTATTATTTGATAAATTATATATAGTCGTATATCTTTGGATTTGGATTGATCTCTGGAACTAATATGTTTTTTTTGCTTCTAATACTTGTATAAATTCTCTTAAATTTTTCTCATAAAATTACTTAAATTCGAAAAATTGACACTTGTATTTGCCAATAGTTTGTTTTATAATAGTTATTAATAATTTTCTTG